GCCGAGCCAACACCTGGCTATTTTTTGTTACAGTTGTCATTGCTTAGCTGGCCTGGGTTGGGTTCGAACATGCTAGCCTTGGTGTATGTGGCTGGCACCATAACACTGTTGTGCTACAGGCGCCGAGCCAGAATTTATATTTCTAATAAGAAAGAAGCTAGGATGGACACAGTTATCAGCCTGGGTTGAAGCAGTTGAGAGCTGTACAAGAGGAGTACAGCCAACTTCTGGGGATCCAGGGAATGGGGCTCAGCACAACTATTCCAATCTTACTCTCCTGTCCTTTGTGTTCTCTCATTGCTCTTGCTGTCTAAACCTATGTGGATGCAGTGTGCAGTGATGGTGCTGGGCCCTCCTGATGCTTGGAGAAGAGTATGGAGTGGCCTGGGGGTGCTGTGTACCTGCACCAGGTTATCTGAGCAAGGTTATCCAGTTTTAACAAAATAAATCCTCACAGAATGGTCTCCTGGCTGAAAAAAATTTCTACAGAGGAAGCACAGATTGAAGATGATGCTAATACTGTAAGATAAGTAAAGAGAGACGGAGCTCCTTGTCAGCAGCAGTTCCAGGTGAAACATTAGATCTGACATATTTGGTCACACTGTTCATATAAAATAGATGTCTTTTATTTTTACTGAAGGCAAAAGGATTTTTGTACCTATTTTTTTTTTTTTTTTGAGACAGAGTTTGTCTCTGTCTCTGTTGCCCAGGCTAGAGTGCCATGGTGTCAGACTAGCTTACAGCAGCTTCAAACTCCTGGGTTCAAAAGATCCTCCTGCCTCAGCCTCCTGACACTGAACTAGTTTTTCCTATCTTTAGTAGAGACGGGATCTCAAACTCCTGAGGTCAAGCAACCCTTCCACCTTGGCCCAGAGTGTGAGACAGCTTGCCTACCCCTGGGTTTTTGTACTTTTCACAAGTAAAATCAAATATTGCTTATTTCACCTTTATTTTTTATTTTTTGAGACAGAGTCTCACTATGTGGCCCTTGGTAGAGTGCTGTAGCATCACAGCTCACAGCAACCTCAAACTC